GCTATTGGCGGAGATTAAAATTGCAGGTGTGCATGTATATAACAGCATGATTTTTTATTTATGATGATTATACATTACAGTCTAAACTCTACAGAGCAACACGGTTTGGGAGACAACTCTTTTGTTAAGAGGTTTGCTCTGCAGAGACAAAATATAGTAATAACCATTACTTTGTGAAAATATGATATTGTTGTGTAGAGGTAATTAGTGCTGCTTTGCACCTTTTACAACTTTGCAACTGTACAATTGTTAAAACATGACAAATTATTTATATCGTATTTTGACTTGTTTATCTATTTTGTAAGAGGCATTTGCGACACAATTCAAAACTACATTACTTCTTTGGCAAACTAACCAAATAATCGAATGTTAACTTATCTGTGTTTGGGAGACTCCTGTGAATATTTCTACCTAGCATTTTAAAAGTATGGCATTACATTCTAACAATAACGGAAGATGGTTCGGAAATATACGTCATGGTGATTGGAAAAAATATGTTTATTGACCCAGTTTGATAAAAGTATGCTGTCAAGAATAATACAAAACTTATACCGTAAAATAACTAGATACAATTTCAACATATTAATTCGAAAATATTACAAATCCAAAGTGAAGATTTTTTTATTCTGATTTTAAGCGACAATCTTTATCAGAAAAACCATTTTGTCTTTTTTCGAATGTAAAACAGAAATCACCTAAATCAAGAATACATATTGTCCGTGCAAACAAAATAGCATATATTTCATTTTAAGACTACTTTAATATAATTATCTAAATAATCTCAATATGGTATGGTCCATCAATCATTCAACATTGACGTGGGCAAGAAATTGGTATTTATTTCCTTGTGGATTTGTCTTCAAAAGAGAGTATACAATTTGTGTCTACTTATTGAACAAAATCTCAATTTACGCCACTTCATGTTCTTATTTACTGATTGAAAAGAAATATATCTGCTGATTGAATTGTTATTTAGGAAATAGATATAAATTCTGAGTGCATTGTTGTAGAATAATGCACGGTTTGAATTCAAATGCGTAGTAATATAATCACGAAGGCCGATAGGCCTGAGTGATTAATTACAAACATTTGAACGAAAACCGTGCATTATTATACAATAATGCACGAAGAATTAATATCTACTTCCATTCTAACACGTCAAGAAAAATATAATTATTATTTTAAAGCTGGACTTTATGTTTGGTGGTTTAATTTGTTTTCGTCTCAGAGTTTCCAATAGAAACGTTCTTTAAAGGCTGTTCCAGTGGGCTGAAAAAAAACTGTCGTTAAATCTACCGTGTGAAGAAAAATTTTGAGAATAACGAATTTTGAAAACGTTGATAAAACTTTGTTTGATTATTTTATTTCACTCTATAATTTTTCAAGCGAAATACAAATTATTAAAAGTGAAATAAATGTAAAACTTAACTCGTTTGCAACATGATTTGTACTTGATTTGATTGTTTTTCACGTGCTGTTTGGCGCTACATTGTGACGTCACGTAAACAACACTTTAAACGCCTGTACAACGTTAACGACTGAATTAAAGATATTGGTGTTCGGATTAATTTTCTTAGTTAGACCATTTTCTTTCATTCTAGATAGTTTTCACAACAAAATTCGAAAAAAATTGTTTTTGTTTATCAGATTTTTTAAACAAAATGGCGCCCTCAATGTGAAAATACACAGGGAGATAATAAGAACGGCGAGTGCATTGTTGTAGAATAATGCACGCATTCGGCCTTCTTTGTCTGTATAGGAAAATTTCCGATAGTGTTAGAATTTGTTATTTACCAAAGGTTTTTGACCTGAATTTATAAATATAACAAAATTATATACTTTCGGTCAAGAAGTTCTACTTTTGTATCAGGGAAACCTTCAGTTTAGAAAAGCACCATCCTGTAAAGTACACATAACTTCACAAACATTTATACTACTACCGTATTCTAAATGTTAGAAAATATTTCAATCTTCAATTAACAAACTTCAATAAAAGCAGGTCTGCGATTTTCAAATATTTTTTTTTTTTGTTTTCACTGCTCTCGAGAAATCACCTATTTATCATAATATAGGTACTAAGTGATGTGCGATGGCTGTAAATGTTGCCTGTATATTGTGTTAGTGTAATTATATCATTTCTGGTCCGATGGTGTCAAATTTAATTGTTGAGGATTGAAACCCGGTAAAGCCGGTGCTCAAGGGGTGAGAAATTTTTCCAGTTTCATTTTCTCCCATAGCCTCTTTTATATCGAGAGTGTAATATTCAACTTTCAGTTTTGTTTTTATTGCAATCATAATATCACCCATTTTCTGAATTTTTAAAGCTTATTCTTAATGCATAGTTAAATACTTGTACAATGTACGTTACAGTTCTTCCTTTAATTTTCGAATTGTCTGTATAATTGTCATTCTTCATGCTTTTGTACGCACTTCAAGGGAAAATGTACAAACGAAAACACACCGAATTAATTTGATCTGAATAAACAAACATCTATTTTGGGATGACAGATCTGTTATCTAATATTAAGACTGAAAAATAATATGAAGAAACAATATATTGTAAAACGATAGCAAAGAGTTGCCACAGAAAATAAATTGATAAAATGATATCTAATTTGGTTAATCTGGTTTTACATTTAGATTGTCAAATTATGACAACTTAGATCCATTAGTTTTGTTCGAAGTAATTATTAAGAAAACTAAACGATTAAAATTACATCATGATACCATTACAACAAAAAATGTTGTTTTTTTCCCCTGTCGTCGAAAATCTAAGCGAAATTTAATTATTAGATATGACAGGGACGAAAGTCTTAATTAGTGAACAAAATCAAAAGTTATAACTGTTATTAAATAAATTTGAAATGACAAACTCAATATTATCTGAAATACATTTTACGACGTATGACGTAAACTATTTGTTTGAAATTAGACCGAGTGAACATAATGGTTTCTATGCCTACGGCAAAAACACCAAATACAGGATTATTTTACAATTTAAAAATAATGAAAACGACATAAATGTGCACTACACATATTATGAGCACATTGATTCAAAATATTACAAGTGTCATGATGAATCTATTTGCACGTTGCTGTAGAAATCTTTCTTCAAATCCGGAAATTATGCAATAAAAACTTCAACAAACCGGAAAATAATAAGAAAACTAATTGTCATTGGTTTTATAGAAAAATCTCTTAAAACATCGTTAATATCTCTTTAGCTTTCAAAACGAGATTCTAAACAGAAGAGAATTGTTTGTTCTATATGGCCTTGTACGATTGCTTACAAAAATATTGGCGCCTTTAATAATATACTAGTAATAAAAGTTGTTATGACATGTTTTCAAAATATAAAGTTATGAAAATGATTAAACGGAAGGAATGTCTATCAAATAAACAAAATCATGATAAAGTCATGAATAAATCTGTTCCTATTTCAAGAATGATTTAAGTCAAAAATACCTGAATTAAGAAAATTAAATTCACGATATAAGTATGTCAGGAGTCCGTATATTAAACAGCCGGTATGTTCGTTCGTGAATTATTTGTTTAATCATACAGAATTAGTTTATTATATTTCTTTCTTGATTTCTTGAAAAAGACATTTATACAAAAATACTAGGCCATATAGAGTCACCCGAAATAGGAGGTATACGATTATAGTGATTGTAAGTGCGTTATTGAGTAGCGCCATAGATTATTCTGAAAATGGTGAACAAAAATTACTACTTTATGGTGCGTCTATAATGCAACACAGACTTTGATAGATTGGATTTATCACACGGCACACAATCTTTGGATAGAGACACAACATTATGCAAAAATAACTGTATACTTATGTTACAATAATTATATTTCGACGCAACAATCTTCAGTATATTAGACACTTACGTGTCACGCTACAACAGTCACATTTCGCTTTGATGAACGAATTAGCACATGAAGTCACACTAATTGTGACTGAGTGGTTTTTCTATGTACTATTGTACGGATTAATTGAATAGACTTCTCACAGGAGACGATCCACTCAGGAATAATTTACATGCTATGAGTGATTTACGTGTTATACAAAGATGTATTTACGTAAACACTTATTCATAGCAAATAAAGATTGTAATAGTGACTATAAAATTTCAGTTATCGTGACAAACAGTTAAACATCACACCTCTAGATTCATGTTGACAATTTATGAGATCTGAAATTACAAATGTATGCCTTTGCTTGTAAGTAGCAAACAGTGTAGGTAACCTAGCATAATACACTTACAGTACTATTAGTTAAAAAGCTAAATAAAACGTGTAAACTTCTTACTCGTCAGGAATCAGGTAAAAGTATAGTGATAAATGCCAAGCAAACTGTTACATGAATTCGGACAATGTACAAATATCTTACACAATATGATATATTTTTGTTAAGTTTCAAGTTTTCAAAAATTGTCTACTGTCAGGAGGCGTGCAAACTTGAAAGATCAAGTACTCCTTCTGACAGAACGCAGACAAGTAAAATGAATCAAACGGGGTATAAAAAGGAAAATTAAAAAATGTTAAAAAGAAAAAATGCATACCGGAGCACTGTCGTGATATAACCCTGCTTATTTGGTTGGCATCAATGACTTATACATATTATCGAAGCTGGGCATCTTCTATGCATAAAAACTAAGCATGTACCAAAACTTATTGAATTTATCCGCATAATAAACAAGCACATTTAACATATTTGTATTGTTTTAGTTAGGTATATGACTCCTTTGATTACATAATCACTTTGAATGGTGATTTTTCAAGCAAACTTAACGTTTTTGTTTCGTTTAAGTTGTTTAAATAAGGACAAGTCAATGTTTGCCAGCATTAATCAAATTTAGGGTTTAAAAAAATATATCTATCCAATAGGTATGCAGTATTTTCAAATGAATCTTAATAAAGTTCGTTTTCTATTTGGTAAATCGTATGTGCAGTTATTTGCCAATTGAATTTTGTAAATGCTTAGTAATTAACACTTATATTGTAGAGTTCTACAAGTTTAAAATATGTATACTTACCCACCTTGGTACTTTGACATTAGGCATATTTCATTAATTCTTGACAAACATGTTTGGTGATATAACCAGCTATAAATCACAAGATGAGGCATATTTCGCTTTAGAATGACAAAACATACACTCATACAAGTAGCTTATATACTAGTTTAGCCTGTACATGCTTGTGGAAATCCTTATTGATCCTTTATTTCAGTCTGAATATGTATCCGAATTTTTCGGACATGTATATTTTCAATTGTTTGTTTATTTCCATGCGTAAATCCTTTAATATTGCGCTGAAGCATTATTGCACTATATGAGCAAAGTCTTGTGTTTCTTTAGCATCATGTAACTTGATTTAAATCCATGTATTTATCTCGAAATGTTAGGAATTGTTGTAAACACATTTCACTAGTTTTACATAGACGCCATGTTATTCGCAGTGCATTGTGGTATTGTTGTTGGTTACCAAGCGTAAATCTACTATGTACAAGAGGAAAATCGATAATTTAAACCTGTCTCAGGTACATGATACTGTTATATAGTCTCTACTTTAAACCAGTAGCGTAGACTTTACCGAGATGGCCATTATTTCTTGTAAATCAGTCTCTGTAAATTCTCTAAGACTGCAACCAATTTTACGGGTGATCAACCATTTCTTTGGGTGCACTTTGGTTGCAAGCAGACTATTTTTGGGGTGCATTAACCTGCAACCATTTTCTGGGGTGATCAGTCAGTTTTTGGGGTGCATTTTGGTTGCGGTTGCAGATTTAGTATAAATAGGCTGGGATTGCCGCATTTCGGGGAGTCATAAGTCAGAATTTCTAACGTAAAGCTACGCTCGGTTAAATTCTCGTTAGCCTTAATAAAATTAATTTTACACTAAATGTAAGCGGGCTATTTTATCTAGATAAACATTTTTATTCACTTCAGAGTTTTGATAAGCTGTTACATTTTTAAACAAATATTTATACATATTTTGTAATTGTCAGTGATAAACATTTCTGCTGTTTTATCACGGTTCACTGGTGCGCCATTTTGTTCGCGCGTATTTTTAACTGTGGAAAGTCGTTTATGCTGTTATCAAAATTAGAAAGTTGACAATTAGGAAAGCGTTGAGAATTATTTAAGTCTTAAGGCAACAATTATTAAGAATTGTTAACACAAGTTTTAAGTGATATTTCTGATTAAAAGCAACTAGTTATATTAATAATAAGTACATTTAATTAAAGAGTGAATTTCTCTTGTGTGAATTATCATTTGAGTTTCTCTTGTGTGAATTGCATGATTACATTATTAATTGACTTTCTCTTGTGTGAATTGTATGATTACATTATCAATCTGTGAAGAACATTAGGAATTGATATTAATACGTTAGAAATATTTCATGTTTTACTATTGATTTATAATTGTTGAGCTAAGTGCTTTATTAAAAGTTATAAACTTTACAACGACTTTCTCCTTTGTGATGTATGACTATAAATAATAGGTATAGTTTAATTTAACCCAATATATATTCAACATAGCAGCAGCAGTGATACATGTCCAAAGCGTGACATATTTTAATAAGTCTTATAATCAAGACTTAGAATTTATTCGACTAAGTTAGTAACTTCACGTGCCCAGATTGTGACATATTTTATCAACATAGCCAATTATACGGTGAAGACAGCAACGTCACGTGCCTAGATCGTGACATATTTTATGGTGGCAGCCTAGTTGGATCTGTAGAAATTACAGTATCGAGTTCACGCTAAGATTTATTTTAGAGGCAATAGAGAGGTGACATGAACAACCCAGTGCCAGTCGATAGCGAGGGTATAATTTCCTTCATACCAGACGAAGAAGTTCAGGAGGCAAACGAACAACAGGAAGCTTTGACAGCTGATGAAAGGTCAGAGGTGATGTCATTAATAAGCAATAGTTCCGTTTCATCTGGTTGTGAGCAAGACAATAGTAGCGTAAAAGCTATTGGTCAAATGGTCGAGATGGTGAGTGGCATGACAAGTCTCCTTAAAGAGGTAGTAAGTGAGCTTCGGGAGCTCAAGCAGCCCAAACAGGTTGAGAGTTCAACCGAAACCAGAAGATTTGAACACAATGCTCGGAATGATAAGGCGATGCCAGAAAATAGACAGTTGTCGCCTAACGCTGAATCATTTCGGCCCAGGGCTTACGGGACTGGTAGTAGGGAAAATGATTTATCAAACCAACAGTCTTTTAGGGGTCATAGGTCAGATCCAAGCCTTACTGGGGCAATTACGGGGACAGCTGTACCACCAATAAACAGTGACCCATACGTTAACCTGGTGAGGGATGAATTCCGTTGCCATGGAAACCAGCCTCAAAATAGAAGATTGCCTAGCAATGAATACTTGTATGGCCCGCGCAACAATGTTTATGACAGAAATGACAACCAGGCCTTTAACTCCTATATGCCAGATGCTAGATATAGCAGGGGCGATTTCTGCAATAGCACACCACCCAACTACATGCACAGAGGTTCCCGAGATGCCAATCATGTAAAGTTTCCATCTTTCACTGGAAAGGAAGATTGGGTGGTTTGGATCACTCGCTTTGAAACGATTGCAGAGAGAATGGGGTGGAATGAGAATGACAAACTGGATCAACTCCTGCCAAAAGTGGAAGGTCAAGCAGCAGAGTTTGTTTTTTCGCAATTACACCCTGCAGCCTTGCGAAACTACAGTGTGCTTAAAACAGAGATGAACAATCGATACAGGGTCATAGAAACCCCTAAACTGTATGCCTCTCGATTCAGTAGGAGATCTCAAAAGGTAGGAGAGACGGCAGAAGAATATGCGGCAGAGTTGAAAGTGCTGTACGACAAAGCACACGGCTTCCGTGATCGAAAGACAAGGGATGAAGACTTGGTCAGACGCTTCTTGGATGGATTAAGAGATGAGGACATTCGGTTTGAGGTTGAGTACAACAAGGAACCTGAGACTATAGATGATGCGGTATTCCAGGTGGTGAGCTATATTCACACGCGTAATCTTAGGGACCGGAGGTCAAAAGAAAATATCAGATGGGCTAGCGAAACAAGGATAACAACAGATGAAGGTGAACCTGGGAGAGAGATAAAACAAACACATGTCGAGAAACCTAAGATTTCGTACAAGCGGCAAAATAATACGCATGACACAGGCCTAGCGAAAGAAATGACAAATGATGATGAGCAAAAGGCAATCTTAAAATCAATTTTACACCGACTGCAAAAGGTGGAGAATCATTTTGTCGAGAGCAAGCCACGAAGACAAAATAAGGGCGAAATAGAATGTTTTAGTTGCCACAAACTTGGACATTTTGCGCGCGACTGCCCAGAGAAGTCAGACCGTCAGAATGACAAGGGTGGACACCAACAGAGCGACAAATCGGAACATGAGAGAAAACCTTTAAACTACAAGGGACCGGCTCTTGTGGCCAAAGGGCGGTCCAACAGGATGTAGGAAATGTTGAAGGCCGGAACAAATTGAAAGCAAATGATTTTTTAGAGGCAACCTTGAAAGATGGCATTGGGGATGAGCTCGAAAAACGAAGACCAAAGGAGATAGAGGATAAGACAAGAGTGAAGCAGTGTAGGGGCATGAGTAGTGGGGTGTACATTAAAGGTTTGGTGGAAGATGTACCCATAATATTCACTGCCGACACAGGGGCTTCCAGAACGGTCATATCCACGAAGGTCTACAATAAGATTGCTGTTGAGAAACAGCCAAAGTTAGAGAGTTCATCATGCCTAGTAGGCGCTGGTGGGTTGCCAATCCAAGAGTGTGGGAAAGGACATTTTGTTATTCGCCTGGGGATGCACTCAAGGTCCATAGAGGCTGTAGTTGCCGACATAGAGGATGAGGCATTATTGGGCTATGATGTCCTTGAGGGGGTAGCCAAGGAGCCGACATTTTACTTAGCCAGAATAAAATCATCTTGGATGGAATAGAAATCCCTTGCTTTCAAGTAGGGCGAAGCCATACAATTAAGCGAGTAGTGATGGCTGATGATGCGCAAATTCCGGGTAGGACAGAAGCCCTCGTAGATGTGTACGTTGAAAGGAATGAAGGCGATGATCACGATCAGAATGGGAAGTACATTATAGAACCAACCGAACAATTTGTAGGAAGGTATCACATTTTAATGGCATCTGTGCTGGTAGACATCAATGCATCGACCACTTGCAAGGTAAGAGTATTGAATCCGTTTTCTCATACTGTGACCCTAAGACAAGACGCGGAAGTAGGACGGGCGGAGAAAATTGAACTTGTTTTGAATACCATCGCTGAAAGAGAAAATCCAAATGAACTAGTTAATTTCAACCGAACCCGTAGAGTTAGCACCGTACATAGACAAGAAAATACTAGACGATTGCCATTCAAAGCAGCCATCGAAAGCGAAGTGCCCGGGCATTTAAAAGAACTCTTCGACAAGTCAACACAGGGTCGATCAGAAGTCGAAAAGCAAGCTGTTGCAGGTCTATTCGTCAAGTACAGCGACACGTTTTCAAAAGATGAGTGGGACATTGGTCTTACACACCTAACTGAGCACTCAATAGATACAGGGGATGCGAAACCAATTCGTCAAAGACCGAGTCGCGTTCCTTTCGCTTTTGCGAAGGAAGAAAGACAAGCAATAGACGATCTTATAAAAAAAGGTGTGATCAGGGAAAGTACGTCGCCATGGGCAAGCCCAATTGTACTAGTTCGGAAGAAGTCTGGAGCAGTTAGGCCGTGTGTTGATTACCGAAAAGTCAACAGCTTAATCAAGCAAGATGGGTTCCCGTTGCCCCGCATTCAGGACTGCCTAGATGCGGTATCAGGATCAAGCTTGTTCAGCAGTTTCGACTTGACCAGCGGGTATTTTCAAATACCCCTGAAACCAGAAGATATTCCAAAGAGTGCGTTTGTGAGCAAATATGGCCAGTACGAGATGACAAGGATGCCGTTTGGCTTGTCAAATTCAGCCAGTACATTTCAGCGCACAATGGAGTTGGCTCTCCAAGGACTACAATGGATCACTTGCCTTGTGTACATAGATGACATAATAGTGTTTGCCCCTGACTTTGAACAACATCTATGCAATGTGGATGAAGTTCTTGGGAGGATCCGTGATGCTGGCCTGAAGCTCAAACCAGAGAAATGCCAGTTATTGCAGACCGAAGTCATATTCTTGGGACATGTAGTGTCAGGCAAGGGAGTCAGCCCTGACCCCACTAATATTGCGAAGATTGTTCAGTGGCAAAGGCCTCAAAATGCTAAAGAAGTGAAACAATTTGTAGCCACGGGATCATACTATCGTAGATTTGTAAAGGATTATGCAAAAATAGTGCGACCACTGACAGATCTCACGAAAAAAGAAAGTATATTCGTCTGGGATGCAGCTTGCGAGGAGGCTTTTAATAAAGTGAAGGATATATTGACAAGTCCAGATGTCATGGGGTACCCATTAAACGACGGCGGCACATTCTATCTTGATGTAGACGCGTCGGGGCACGGAATAGGGGCCGTGCTTCAACAGGAACAAGGGGGTCGAGAGCGTGTTATTTCCTATGCAAGTAGGTCATTAAACAAGGCTGAACGCAACTATTGCGTTACAGAACAAGAATTGTTAGCCATTGTGTTTTTTGTCCAGTATTTCAGACAGTACCTTTTAGGACGCAAGTTCATTGTCCGAAGCGACCACAAGGCCCTGACCTGGCTCTTCAGCTTGCAAGAGCCTAATGGAAAAATTGCAAGATGGATAGAAATCCTTGCTCCTTTCGACTTTAGCATACAATACCGACCAGGAAGACAGCAGGGGCACTGTGATGCCTTGTCCAGATGTGAGAACCCAAGAGATTGCAGTTGTAGTAATGTGGACATGAGCGAGCCCCTTAAATGTGGCCCATGTGACAAGTGTCGCAGAAGAGCCACAGAAATGTTGGCTAAGACAAATGTGGATACCTGTACTGCCAATGGGAACAAAATAGATAACTTAAGAAAGGTAAATGAAGGTGCCAGCACCTCAACTGAGCACGGTAGTGAAGACAAGGCTAGTACAAAGGAGGTCAATAGAGACCGAAGAGGGGACAACTGGCTTAGCCTTCATTTACCAGAAAATGTTGGCGTAACACAGAGACAAGATCCTGATATTGTAATGCTGATCGAAGCACTTGAAGCCGGAGAAAAGCCAACAAGCGAAGCCATGACGGTAAAAAGTCCAGCTGTAAGACACTATTGGATACTCTGGGATGCTTTGGTCTTGAAGAACGGTGTGCTGTACAAGGCATTCGACAAAAGAGACGGCACCGATAAATATATGCAGATGATCTTACCACGTTGTCATATACAAACTATAATGCAACAAGCTCATGACTCACTTGTCGGAGGACACCTAGGAATAAAGAAGACAAAAGCTCGCATCCATACACACTACTATTGGTTTCGAATGAAAGAGGATATAAGACTTTATATCCAACGTTGCGATGTTTGCGCAGCAAACAGGAAACCGCAAAAGCCACCAAGAGCTCCACTTGGTAGGCTTGCCGCAGGAGCGCCATGGGGACCTTTTAGCTGTCGACTATGTTGGTCCATTCCCAGTAACCCCTCGCAATAACAGATATGTATTGGTGCTGACTGACCACTTTTCGAAGTACGCAGAGGTCATTGCTGTGCCCAATCAATCGGCAGAAGAATGCGCTTCGCGCATACTGAATGAAATCATTTCAAGGTGGGGTACGCCTTTGGTGCTTCACTCTGATCAAGGCCCTACGTTTGAGAGCAAAGTATTTAAGTCCTTGTGCTCTATGCTGCAAATAAAGAAGTCAAGGTGTAGTGCCAGGAATCCTAGGGGTAACGGCCAAGCAGAAAGATTTGTAAAAACACTAGTTGCGATGGTTAAAGCATATCTTGTCGGGGAGCAGAGTCAATGGGACCTCAACTTAGGTTGTCTGGTGGGTGCATATAGGTCGACACCGAATGAAGCCACCAAAATGTCTCCAAATCTACTCGCCATTGGCCGAGAAATTCGTATGCCAGCTGACTTAATATTTGAACACGTAAAAGAAGTGAATCAAAACACAGGGAACCTCTCAGACTATGTCATTGGCCTCAAAGAGAAAATGTTGCACGCCCATGAGGTAGCAAGGCGACACCTTGGTTTGAACGCAAAAAGAAACAAAGAAATATATGACGCGAAAATGTTTTTTACAGATTACAATGTCGGTGACCTAGTTTGGTACCTACATGAGACCAAGAAAGTAGGAATCGCACCAAAACTCGAAAAGACATATGATGGCCCTTATGTGATCAAAGTGAAGCTGTCAAAAATAAACTTTGTCTTACAACTTGATAGCAAGGGAACGGAAAGAATTGTTCATCATAACAAACTTAAGCTGTACGAAGGAGTGAACCCACCTAGATGGGCCAGACAACTAGTGACAAAATTTAAGGGCAAGCCCGGTGAACAGCAATAGTTCAGTCGGTGCATTTTTGTGTGATAAAGCATGTTGTATGTGTTATGCAATCCGTGTTGATTTCTATTGTTTTGTAAACTATAATAACTTGTATATGATTATGGATTTGCTGTGTTGTTTACTCGTATTAATAAATCTTCTGAAATGTGAACTTGTTTGTCACTTTGACGTGATAACATTTTTGTTTAACCTAGAGAAAAATTGTTGCCTAGCAACAGACATAGAAACATTTATTTTAGATGGGCGCATTGCCTAAAAACAATTATAGGTGATTTATTAGAGATGACCTTTTGTATTTAAAACAAAGTCTGTATTGAACTCATTAATTATGGTTGCTTAGTCAAAAAGCATACATTGTGCTAGTGGTAAGTCAAGAAGTGCGGTTAACCGTGAGACACGGATCAGATTTTAGTAACAATTAGGATTTTATTGCGCGACATTGTGGTATTTATGGAATCGCATTGAGTCGATAGAAGTTTTAGATTTAGTATAATCGAGCTATGCCGCCAATATAAGCGTTACACGCGTTGACATGTGAACACGCATTAGTAGGAAATCAAGCTCCAGGTTCACCAGTGACCGTGAGATTAAGGGTGTCAGCTGAATTCTTAGAGCCTTTTATTCTTTGTATTTTGCAGGCAGGGATGACGTTGTCATTATATAGAAGACGTGGCAGGGCATACCAATGCAAGCACTGTTATAAGATCGATAGGAGAGGGCGTATGATTTCACACATTCTGAAGGATCATGTGCCACTTGCTAGGGCACCTTACCATTGTACATTCTGCCTCTTCAGGTGTACGGACAGGCAGTCCCTTCAGAATCATCTCACTCGTTACTCGAGACACAAAGAGAAGGAGGTACTGATGGGAACCCCGGACTACACTGAGGTTCTGGTGAAAGCCGCAGAACCTTATTGGGTAGGAGACGAAGATATGGCACAACTCGGTCAGGAAGAGTCAGCACGGTGGTATGCGAGGCAGAGTAAGGGAACACCTGAGGGTAACCCAGACGACAGCGAGGGCCTCTACGAAGACGATGAGGATGTGGTTGTGGCAGATGGTAGAACTCTTCCACGGTGGCTTGTCACAGACGACAACCACAACCTTGTTGGGGCGCCGAAGAGAGCAACCGGTAACATGTCATGTATGGGACAGGCTCAGACGCTAGCAGCACAGTTGCCGTCGTTTCCGCAGACACAGCACTTGGGTTCAGGTCTCCCACCAGCTCCTATGCAGTTAGAGCTTAGTCAACGCAAGGTGTCTGCTGGTTTCCCTCTAGTCACAGGTACAACTGGTACCTACTCCACAGTTGTCTCCACTTTTCCCTCTGGGGTACTGCATATTCCAGATGTTAGTGTGGGTTCAAACAGAGGCCTTATGATGCAAACCTCTATAGGTCAGACGTTGGATCAGGCAGACAGAACTACAAGGATGCAGCCTAACAGTTCCAGACGACTCAATACTCCAAGCCCGAGACTGCCCATTACATCGAACCACCAAGGGTATGTGGCACAAAAGGCCAAGCTTCCATTGACTCAGAGATCGGCAGAACAGTCTGAGATGGCACAGGGTATTCCTCAGCTGCCTAACCTACTAACGGATGACTTGGAGTGCCCAATTGTTAATGTAAATGAGGCGCAGGGTTCAACTGGTATCACTACCAACCTGTCATACCCAGCTGTAGGTGTAAGTGCGAGTCGCCAAAAGCAAGAGACCGTCCAAGATATGGATATCAGTATTGACCAGCTTCTGTTCACACCAAATGCATCAGCAAGGTCATCATTAGGAACTCCTGTGCAGGATGAAGTTCAGCTCCAAGTGACTGATGTATACGACCCTCTATACCAGGAAGCTTTTGGTACAAACAACCACCCACCAGCAAAGAAATCAAGGGTCGAACCTGTTCTCGTGCAGCAGGAAGTTCCTAGTAAGCAGTTAGTAGGGTCTGGTGGAACAGAGGAGACATCAGCTACAGTAGAAAGGGAAACCGCAAAAGAAAGAGTGACGCAGTCATGCAAAGTACCCCAAAGCAACAAAGGGAAGAACCCGTTGAACATAGAGTTCCAACAGAAGAATGAGTTGACCACAGCTGAGGCCATAATGGAAGCTGCGAAAATGATCTGCAAGTCATTGGATGACCAGACTCGTGCCGCACGATGCTCAGAGAAGGCCTCCTTGAAGATCGCTGGGGAACTCGAAAGGATCGAGAGGAAATTGACGAAAATGGAGCGAACAATAGCATCAAGATCTAGAGGGGAAACATCAATAGAGGGTGATGAAGATATCAATAACAACAAGGAGAATGCAGTGATAGAACAGAGGAATAGCGGGCAAGGAGAGATAGACACTAGTAAAAAGAGAGAGCCATTAAAGAGTGTCATTCACCAGGTAAAGAGGAAAAAGTGAGAAAGAAGATTAAGCCATCTAAAAACAGGGGTTGGGTTTTTCTGTAACTTTTTACCCAAATTTAAATTTGGGTGTTAAAGCTCGCCCTTGGGGGGAGTCCGGGGCACAGGGCCCTTTTTTAAATTTTCAGGGCAGTGGGGTGGGGTAAAGTCGCCCGCAAACTTTAAGCGGGCCCTCTCGATGCTAGTCAAGGTTGTAAGGCATCGAGAGGGTAGGATAAGGGTCATTCTTAGAACACGATCATCAATGGAGACGTTTCCTTAAGTATTGTGAAAAAACGAACTGTTTAAAATTTTATCAGGACTTTTAATATTGTGAACAAACTGTAGTGTTAAATAAAAAAATATACCGCATGTGACAATACAAAAGACATTGAACCTTAAATAATTTCGGTGTGTTTAAGATGGACTGTTTTTTTATGATGTTAAAATTTTACGCGTCAAAAGTGCGAAGAACTTTAAGTTAATTTATATTATGCAAGTGTTATTTTTCAAGTCTTGATATAGTTCAAGTCATATTATTGGTATGGCAACAGGAGTTTAGCCATAGAAACAAGGGGGTATTGTAGAGTTCTACAAGTTTAAAATATGTATACTTACCCACCTTGGTACTTTGACATTAGGCATATTTCATTAATTCTTGACAAACATGTTTGGTGATATAACCAGCTATAAATCACAAGATGAGGCATATTTCGCTTTAGAATGACAAAACATACACTCATACAAGTAGCTTATATACTAGTTTAGCCTGTACATGCTTGTGGAAATCCTTATTGATCCTTTATTTCAGTCTGAATATGTATCCGAATTTTTCGGACATGTATATTTTCAATTGTTTGTTTATTTCCATGTGTAAATCCTTTAAAATTGCGCTGAAGCATTATTGCACTATATGAGCAAAGTCTTGTGTTCCTTTAGCATCATGTAACTTGATTTAAATCCATGTATTTATCTCGAAATGTTAGGAATTGTTGTAAACACATTTCACTAGTTTTACATAGACGCCATGTTATTCGCAGTGCATTGTGGTATTGTTGTTGGTTACCAAGCGTAAATCTACTATGTACAAGAGGAAAATCGATAATTTAAACCTGTCTCAGGTACATGATACTGTTATATAGTCTCTACTTTAAACCAGTAGCGTAGGCTTTACCGAGATAGCCATTATTTCTTGTAAATCAGTCTCTGTAAATTCTCTAAGACTGCAACCAATTTTACGGGCGATCAACCATTTCTTTGGGTGCACTTTGGTTGCAAGCAGACTATTTTTGGGGTGCATTAACCTGCAACCATTTTCTGGGGTGATCAGTCAGTTTTTGGGGTGCATTTAGGTTGCGGTTGCAGATTTAGTATAAATAGGCTGGGATTGCCGCATTTCGGGGAGTCATAAGTCAGAATTTCTAACGTAAAGCTACGCTCGGTTAAATTTCCGTTAGCCTTAATAAAATTAATTTTACACTAAATGTAAGCGGGCTATTTTATCTAGATAAACATTTTTATTCACTTCAGAGTTTTGATAAGCTGTTACATTTTTAAACAGATATTTATACATATTTTGTAATTGTCAGTGATAAACATTTCTGCTGTTTTATCACGGTTCACTGGTGCGCCATTTTGTTCGCGCGTATTTTTAACTGTGAAAAGTCGTTTATGCTGTTATCAAAATTAGAAAGTTGACAATTAGGAAAGCGTTGAGAATTATTTAACTCTTAAGGCAACAATTATTAGGAATAGTTAACACAAGTTTTAAGTGATATTTCTGATTAAAAGCAACTAGATATATTAATAATAAGTATATTTAATTAAAGAGTGAATTTCTCTTGTGTGAATTATCAAATGAGTTTCTCTTGTGTGAATTGCATGATTACATTATTAATTGACTTCTCTTGTGTGAATTGTATGATTACATTATCAATCTGTGAAGAACATTAGGAATTGATTTTAATACGTTAGAAATATTTCATGTTTTACTATTGATTTATAATTGTTGAGCTAAGTGCTTTATTAAAAGTTATAAACTTTACAACGACTTTCTCCTTTGTGATGTATGACTATAAATAATAGGTATAGTTTAATTGAACCCAATATATATTCATCATAGCAGCAGCAGTGATACATGTCCAAAGCGTGACATATTATAATAAGTCTATAATCAAGACTTAGAATTTATTCGACTAAGTTAGTAACTTCACGTGCCCAGATTGTGACATATTTTATCAACATAGCCAATTATACGGTGAAGACAGCAACGTCACGTGCCTAGATCGTGACAATACTATATATGTCTGGCGCCACAGATTTTATGGAATAAACACTGACTTAACAAAGGCCTAATTTGTGCTTAAAAATATGTACAATGAGAGTATGATTCTCTGATTTTAAAAGTTAAGTTGGTATATGTATTAAAGAATTTAAAAAATTGAACGATTTTATTGGTTTTAACCACTTATTCACTTTAATAAGTGTTGTTTCGTCCGCTGTGCATTTCACCAAATTAATTGAGATTAATAAATAAATGTTTAAGATGTTTAACTCTTCAGACATCTGATGAGCATAGCAAGTTTTTAACTTAGGGCCAAAACTAAAAAATATTTTAGAAAGAAAGTAGATGTTATTTCCCCTTGTAATATGACAGTTTTCGTTAGCTACAAATTTCATATATCCTTATAGAAAGAATGAATACTGTATTAAAGAATATATTTTAAATTTGCATGATTTTTTCAACTTTTCGAGTGAAAAATATGGGGTCACCTAGTTTTTTTTGGGAATAACTGCCCTAGAATATAAAAACATTTTAGTATGTAACAACTTAATGGCCAATACTTAGTAGGCCTGCAGTCAATGTGAAAACATTTTTCAACATTTTGAATTTCATATATTTCAAAACATAATCAATACAATAAACAATATATTTAACAAAACGAATTATTTCTATGGTAATTTAATTCTATTTTTTCCGCTTTTTTAGCTCACCTGAGCATGCTCAGGGTGAGCTTTTAGGATCGATGATTGTCCGTCGTCCGTCGTCGTCCGTCGTCCGTTCATATTTAGTTGTTAACACTCTAGCGGTCGCATTTGTGCCTCAATCATCATCAAACTTGGTCAGGATGCTTATCTAGTTGATAGCTCGGATGACTTTGAACATGGGTCATCTCGGATGAAAAACAAGGTCACCGGAACTCAAAATAGAAAAACCTTGTTAACTCTCTAGCAGTCACATTTTTGCATCAATCATCATCAAACTTGGTCAGGATGCTTGTCTATGTGATAGCTCGGATGAGTTCGAACATGGGTTATCTCGGATGAAAAACTAGGTCACAAGAGCTAAAAATAGAAAAACATTGTTAACACTCTAGCGGTCACAATTTTGCCTCAATCATCATCAAACTTGGTCAGGATGTTTGTCTAGTTGATAGCTCGGATGAGTTCGAACATGGCTCATCTCGGATGAAAAAGTAGGTCACCGGAGCTAAAAATAGAAAAACCTTGTTAACACTCTAGCGGTCACATTTTTGCATCAATCATCAAACTTGGTCAAGATGCTTGTCTAGGTGATAGCTCGGGTGAGTTCGAACATGGGTCATCTCGGATGAAAAACTAGGTCACCGGAGCTAAAAAAAGAAATACCTTGTTTACACTCCAGCGGTCACATTTTTGCCTCAATCATCATCAAACTTGGTCAGGATGCTTATCTAGTTGATAGCTCGAATGAGATCGAACATGGGTCATCTCGAATGAAGAACTAGGTCACAAGAGCTAAATATAGAAAAACCATGTTAACACTCTAGCGGTCACATTTTTGTCTCAATCATCATCAAACTTGGTCAGGATGCTTGTCTAGGTGATAGCTCGGATGAGTTCGAACATAGGTCAACTCGGATGAAAAAGTAGGTCACCGGAGCTAAGAATAGAAAAACCTTGTTAACACTCTAGCGGTCACATTTTTGCATCAATCATCATCAACCTTGGCAAGATGCTTGTCTAGGTGATAGCTCAGATTAGTTCGAACATGGGTCATCTCGTATGAAAAACTAGGTCACAGGAGCTAAAAATAGAAAAACCTTGTTTACACTCTAGTGGTCACAATTTTGACTCAATTGTCATCAAACTTGGTCAGAAAACTTTTCTAGGTCATTGCTGTGATTAAATCGAACATGAGTCAGCTCGGATGAAAAACTAGGTCACAGTAGCTAAATATAGAAAAATCTTGTTAACACTCTAGTGGCTTCTGTTGTGATCCAAATATTCTGTAAATTGGTCTGAAAGTTTGTTTTGATGATTTCTAAGTCAAGTTTAAACATGGGTCATCTTGGATGAAAAACTAGGTTACACCGCCCAAATATGGAAAAACCTTGTTAACATTCTTGTGGTCACATTTTCCACTCAATTATCATCAAACTTGGTCAGGATGCTTGTCTAGGTAATTGCTCGGATGAGTTTGAAATCGCATGTGAAACTAGGTCACCAGAGCTAAAAATAGAAAAATCTTGTTAACACTCTAGTTGCTACTGTTTTGATCCAAGTATCCTGGAAATTGGTCTGAAAGTTGTTTTGATGATTTCTAGGTCAAGTTTGAATATGGGTCACCAGGATAAAAAAACTAGGTCACACTGCTCAAATATGGATAATCCTTGTTAACACTGTAGTGGTCACATTTTTGACTCACCTGTCATGAGACTTGGTCAGAATGCTTGTCTAGGTAATTGTTTGGATGAGTTTGATGGGTCAGGTGAGCGATCTAGGGCCATCATGGCCCTCTTGTTTATCTCTTTTGCAAGAGGAATTTAAAACATTAATAAAAACACAGAATATTTGCATTTCTCTACATTAAACTGTTTTTGGTATACAAACAAATGATAAAATGTTAACTTATTGGATGACTCCTGTGAACATTTCTTTAGTATGACATTTCTTTCTGACTATAAACGGAAGACGATTCGGAAATATACGTCATGGTACCTGAAAAAAATATGTTTATTGACCTAGTTTGAAAAGTATGCTGTCAAGAATAATACAAACTA